CTACTCTATAATGACACAAACCCAGATTTCCTGGCTTTATGGATGTTGTCTCTAAATCTTTACCTACTGCCTGGTAAGGTGCCACATCAAACCAGGTGGAACTGGTGTCATGGTCATTTACTGATCTAGTAATATAGAGGGGAGATTTTTAAAAAATGTTTTTTCAGTACTAGAGATTGAACCTCGACCTTGCATATGCTAAGCAAGTTCTGTACCCTATCCCCTTTTACTTTATTTTGAGACAGGGTCTCACTAAATTGCCCAGCCTGCCTGAAGTTTAAGATGCTCCTGACTCAGTTTCCTGAGTCAGTGTGATTACAGGCTTGTACTCCTGTGCTCAACTAGTACAGGCTTCTTTGTGATATGCATTCTTATTAGGGGCTATATCACTTCCAAGTGCTGAAAACTGTTCATTAGAGGTAAAAAATTTTTTGCTTCTTTATGTATAAAGGACAGATATGCATACAACACATAAACAGATATATGGCATTTCTCTGGTACTAAAATGGCAAGGGAAGAATAACTAAAATACCTCTCTATGGGGGACAGTAATGAAAGATCAAAAAACAATTCTCTAGTTGTTACAAAGGAAAGAGACCAGTATTTATAGAATGGCTCTCAATTGGTCAGGCACAGTGCTGAACAGTCTCTCGTATTTTTATTTAATCCTCACAATAGTCATTTGTAGATGAGGAAATTGAACTTAAATAACTTGACCAAAGCCACACAGCTTAGCTTGTAGCTAGAATAGCTGAGGTTTAAGGCCAAACCTATTTCCAAAGCCTTGCTTTTTTCCATGAAACTAAGCTGCAAAGTCAAACTCAGTTCACACATATCTGAATCATTATTGCTACCCCTAAGTATTTATTTTGTTTTTGTAAATCAAGAATAGAAAAATAAAGAACTCACTAACAATGCATATGTATATGTCACTGCATTGTCTCTACCTTGTGATAAACACAGGGCACCATTGCCTCCTGCCATATTTTGTCTTAGAGTTGTTTGAAAGGAAGTCATTTGTTAGGGAAGAAAGGTGATAAAAGAAAGGAAGGATACTATCTGTACCTTTCCTATTTCCTCCCTTTAATTCCCTTTTCTGGGCTGCATCTAGCATGGTGGTTCTTGCTCCCAAATTCCACACCTTCCAGGAGTTTGTTAACATTCTGCAGTTTCTCCTTGGGAAGAATATCTTGGGGAGCTCTCTGATACAATTTTGAGCTGAGCGCTAGCTTAGAAGGCAGGAGAGCCTCAGCAATTACTCTGATGATCTCTGTCTTACAAATGTGAGCTGAGTAGCAGCTCTGTGCAGGGTCAAGCTCCAGTTCATTCTGGCAGAAGGGGCTCTCCTAGCTGTCTGCATCATCAACCTCACCTGTTTTCAGGACATTTTTCCAGCTGTTTTCTTGTTGGATGTGGATTCACTTGTGGTCAAAACAGAGTAAGAACACAAAGGAACTATGCAAAAGTTTTATTTTCCTACATGTGGAAATCAACTTTCTGTTGAAGGTTTTCTATTTTACTTGTTATTTAGATACATTTTTCTCCATTGCAGAAAAAGTAAGCTAGTCTATCCCAAACATGGCCAACATGCATGAGCAGGGAGGTAAGGGAGAAGGCAAAGAATTAACACTTATTGAGGTCCCATCATATGATGGCACACAGCTAGGTGTTTTTAATGAATTATGCTACTTGTTCTTTACCAAAAAAACCTTAATATTATCCACATTTTTAGATATAAAGAAAATGAAGCACATAAAAATTACTTGTTTAAGTCTACAAACTCACTAGGGTGACTCCAAACATTGTTCTCCTCAGAGATGCTCTAATCCAATTTCTGGGGAGCCCTAGAAGCAGAGGGCATGGTAGTCGCAGGGCCAAGCCCAGGCCAATGTAGGGGCAGAGGTGCGCAGAAGTTCACCCTCCAGAGAGCAGACACGTGTTGCCACCTCCTTGGAGAATTCACATCTACTTACAGTATTCCCAGGACTATCTTGTTACACCTGGCACCCCCAAGAGCAAAGCTTTTACTAAAACGTTTGAGGGTGTCTTGGTATTATTTTTGTAGTTTTTGCAATAAGATATTCATAAGGGAGACACAACTGAAGAAAAATCAAAATAGCAAAGGAAGTGTGACATAGCAAAAAGACAGGACAGAGTCAGGAGACTGCCTGGATGTCTCCTTAAGCAATCCACTTCTCTTTTCCAGATCTCCATTTCTTTATCCATAAAAGGAATCAACTAGCTGAAGTTTTCTTTCTGCACAAACAAACTATTTGTTCAGGGAAGGGACAGCTAAGAAATTTCTTTGAGCATTTTGTGAGTGTTGCTCCTTCCTGGTCCTGGCTGGTAATCATGCTTCTGTTTGCTTCTGGATTCCTGGGGATGACACTACAAATGATTGCAGGTATCAAGAGTAAATCAATGGATGTGTAACTGATGTGATTCTGCAATCTGTATATGGGGTAAAAATGGGAGCTCATAACCCACTTGAATCAAAGTGTGAAATATGATATATCAAGAACTATGTAATGTTTTGAACAACCAACAATAAAAAATTAAAAAAAAAAAGAATACACCCTGGAATATCCTGGTGTCTGGCAAAGGAAGAAAATAATATAAAAAGCTTTGGAAGCCTTTAGAAGCTTTGTGCTATAAAGCATGCCTTCTAATAAGGAAAACCTTACCAGCATAGTAGACACTCATGAGGAGCTCTGACCTCAGCTGTTCTCTGAATTTTCATAAATATGCTCCTCTTCACATAGAGCATTGCCACTAATCCCTGTATTCTCCCTTCCTTCAGTATGTCCCCTGGGAGCCATGTCTCTCCTGGGACCCTCAGCTTCCAGTCTGGGCCTGAGTCAGAATATTTCTGTAGCTCCTTCTATCTCAGGAGAGAGGCCTGGCCAGGTAGTTGATCTCCCTCTTAATTTCCATTACACACTTCTTTAAAAACGCCTTATTTAAGAGTTCAGTAAAGGAAGATGAAGGGAGAGAGCAATCGCTAAACCCTTAAGGTGTATTGGCCGTAGGCTAATATTTTTCCTTATTACTTAATGTAATTTTTGTAATTCACAAGGTATATACAATTATCCCAATTTACAAATGAAAAAAAATAAGTGTTAAAGAGTTTAAAGTGACTGTCCAAGGTCATAAAGTGCTGGAACAATTTTATAGCAGGTCAGTTAGATTCCAGAACCTAAGCTGACAACAATTGTAATGTCCTATGGCTGCCCAAATGGCCTTTATCTCCTCCTACTTGACTCATTTGGGGTATTCAGTGAATCAAGACTTCTAAAGAAATAAAATTTGGTTATGGTATTCTATTTTTATTTCTAGTGAAGACATTCTTCCACTTCTCTGTATCTTTGGCAGTGTTTCCTTGTATCCCACATCCTACACTTTCAAGATTCTTACTGTAAATCTTTGTATAACCAGATTCATTCCCGCTGTGTATAAGATCAGTTCTTGCTTTCAGTGAGATTTAGGAATACACCATTCAGGAAAGGATTGCTCCTACTAGGGAAGTTTTCTCTTGATGTCCTTAGCATTCTCCAAATAGATTCATTCACATATGTTTATTACGAATTCCAAGGTAGTTTTTTTGGCATCAGGAATAGAATGGTGGAAAAATCAGCCTTTCTGATATTTTCCAACAAATAATATATTTTTCCTGCTTTCAAGTCCAACTCTGTTGTGTTCCTTTTATGATTCTTGAACTGATTTCAGCATTCCAAAGTGTTACCTTACACCTTTCCACCTGATTTTCCTCCTCATGAATTCTAGAACTACATCTGGTTGCAAACTTGATAAAAATCCCACTGGTCCAACTATGGAACTTGAAAAGTTCAGAGTTTGGAGGAGTAATACCAGGGCCAATGCAAAGGCCTCTTTTTCTTCCTATTGAGAAGGGATCATTCCTCCAGAGGTGCCACCTTAGAAAAATGCTAGCAAGCTGCTAGTAGCATGTCCCAGGTCAGGGACGTGGGTCAGAGCAATTATTCAATGATGACACACTACTGAGTGCCTCCAAACATCCAGAAGGCTGTTATGCCAGCATCAGCAGGCAGCTGACTTGTGGTGGGATTTGAAGGGCTGTTCAGTAGGGTCTTTCCCCCTACACAGCCCCACTACTTGCAATTCTACTTTTGAAGTTTTATTCCTTGACTCTTAAATATTTTCAGTTCTTAATACTCTATGTCTGTGAGGCAGGTTTTATGAAAAATGGAATAGTTGAGTCAAGAGGGAAAGAAGCTGTGTTGATAAGATGGAGAGATTCCAAAGGTAAACTTTTTCTGTCACTGAAAAGTGTTAAGCCTTGTGCTGCCAACTCTGGACAATTAGGGAGCTAAGGAAATTTTGCCTCTGGAAACTATCAAAGAACCCCATTGGGATTGGTTTTCAAGTGCAATGACTTGATGATCTCAAGTTATAGAATTAGGACCTAAGCTCATACAACACATAGAACATCAAAGCATACTGATGTTATGAAATTTCTTTTGCTAAACATAAAATCTCTATATCATAGTTCCATAGTTCTCTATGGAGTTCCCAAGGTAGAGAGGATTCATCTATCTGGCAAAAAAAGAAACTTTATTTATGAAATATTTTCAAATCTACTTTAAAAACTGATTTCATTTCTGATGAAGAGGAATATCATAATTAAAACTGAGAATACTAAACTTTATAAAAATGTGTTTTAAGTTATCTTTATATTTTAGATGCTCAGCTTTTTCTTTTCTTTAAAGAAGGGCTTATTTCATAGGGGTGAAAGAACTTAGCATTTTGCAGAAATATACTATGAGATACCTAGGTGAATGATGGGTTAATGCGGATTGACCCATTGTTAGTTAAATAAGGTCATGCTTGCATGTTTTTGAGATAAATCAAGGGATGATATCAACTGTGAGTCACTCAAAGGATTTCATATTCAAAGAGTCTGGCCTAAGAGTTATATAAAAAGGGACACATAAGGAACTTGAACTACAATAGCGCAGAGTAAATTGAGTTAAGCTCTTCTGGAGGGAGAAGTTAACAATGAAGCTTCTTCTGTTGATTCTGGTCCTGTGGGTCACTGAGCTTGGAGCTGCTTCCCAAGCCAAAGTAATAAGCCCCACAGAAATGGATGAGGAATTTGCTGAAGTAAGTATTGTCACTATAGTATTTATCTAGCCTGATTTTTGTCTTTATTGCATTTACTTGTTTTATTTTGAAAAAGGCTATTTGAAAACTGTTCTATTAGGCTGTTTGCCTTCAGTATTGATTTTTTTCTTTGCTAGAGAGGAATATAAAGAAAGTATTAGTTTTGAAGGAGTGTTATGAAATGGGTAAGTGACATTTGTCCCTTTCTCTAAAAAGTCTTGACCAAGGACTTTCAGTTCAGTATAATTCTGTTATAATATTTTACATTAGTCATCTATGCCAATTAACAGTCTGAGATTGTCTGGTGGATTGACCAATTTAACCACATCAGCTGCCATGATAATTTCAACATACTCCCATTACCCTTCTTCATCCCAGATATTTCTTCATAAGCCTTTTTCTTAAAAATATTACTTTCAATTCTTATGTGCTTTATGACTAAAAGAGCTGGATCTCTTATTTTCTAAAATTAACTTGATTTTTTTTTAACATAGGCTGGCTTCAAACTCTTGAGCTGAAGTGATGCTCTCACCTTAGCCTCCCACATAGCTGGAACTACAAGCATGTGCTGCCATGCATGGTTCTATTTTCTAAAATTATTTTAACTTTGAACTTATCATAGTTGTCCATTGTGTCCAGCTTTGTATTTTTAAACAAGGATTTTTTTTTTTTTTGTAGTACTGAGGATGGAACTTAGGGCTTAAGAGCATGCTAGGCAAACCATCTACCACGAATTGCATCCCAAGTCAAGCAAGAAAGTTTTATCCCAGCTTAAATTAACACTTTAAGCATTCTAGCAATGAAGATTTTTGTCATTTATCAAATAACATAATATACTAAAATATTTTCAAAGGAGTAGAAACAAGTTTGAAGAAGTAGAAACAAAGATTTTTTCCCCCCATTGGGCTTCTAGAAATAAATCTAGTAAGTTCTGACATGTTTTTGATAACACATAAATTAAACTGTTTTTTCATTATAATAATCGTCTAAATAACAACATTCTAACCTGTGATTAAAATGTAAAAATACCTAGTTTGAAAATATCACTGTTCAGGTGGGTCAAAACGCAAAGCTCCCAGGGCCAACTTTCCTGCGTGTGGCTATATATTACTGAATGTATCTTTTTCCAGATGTACCTGAATCATTTTTATGGACTTATGGAGACAATTCCAATGACAAAAATGAAAATCAGTAGGGACTCCTTAAAGGAAAAAATCCAGGAAATGCAGCAGTTCTTTGGGCTAAACGTGACCGGGCAGCTGGACACTTCTACTCTGGAGGTGATGCACAAACCTAGATGTGGAGTGCCTGATGTCCATCATTACAGCACATTTCAAGGAAGGCCAGTGTGGAAGAAGCATGAAATCACCTACAGGTAATGCAGGTGTATGGAGCTGTGAGTTCTTCTGTTTTCCCAGTGGTTTGACTTCGAGAAACCCAAGCCCTTTAGATACAATATATCCCTAAATTTGGAAGTAGAGAAGTGACCTTCCTCAATTGTTACTCTATCTCTGTGCTTAAATTCATTGTCTCTAGAAGGAAGGAAGAATTGCTCACTCAAGAAGAGTTGTAATTGTATGTCTTGCAGGTTAAGTTAGCAGAATATAAGAAAGTTTCAAATAAAAGGAGCATGAAGTTGAAATAATTATAAGTCCGAGAGAGGAGAAAGTATACAGAGTAGTCAAGATGGGCAAATGTGGAAGTCTGGGAGCAGGAGAAGAAGCTATAAGCATCTATGAAAGAAAATCCATCACAATGACTTCATTTCAGTCATAAATAAGAGAAATTAAGATAGATTTTGGTTAGGAGAAAGTTGTCCAAGGAAAAATGGTTTGTACTAAAGCAAATTGTTCTTTGTCTGAATTCTTGATTTATGCAATGCTTCATCCTTCAGTGAGGGTCTTGGAACTGAAGTATTATGATAAGACAATTAACATATAGTTTCTATGTTTCTCTCTCTTTTTTTCTGATAAAGAATCAATAATTACACTCCTGACATGAAGCAAGAGGATGTTGACTATGCCATCCAGAAAGCTTTTCAAGTATGGAGTGACGTGACGCCCCTGAAATTCAGAAGGGTTCATGCGGGAGAAGCTGACATTATGATATCTTTTGCAAATGGAGGTGAAGAATTTGGACTCCATCTGTCTCATTTGACATGATCTATAGCATATATGAAAGCACTAATTTTCTTTCCTTTTTTTTTTTTTTTAAAAAAAAAAAGCTCATGGAGATTTCAACCCTTTTGATGGCAAAGATGGAGTCTTAGCCCATGCTTATGAACCTGGACCTGGTATTGGAGGAGATGCACATTTTGATGAGGCAGAAACCTGGAGTAAAAATTACAATGGTAGGGAAAAAAAATTAAACTTAACAAATTTTAAAATCTGTCCTGATTTTGAAAGTCTACCTTCTGGCAAAATATGATAACCTGGAAAAATTTGTGCAGACTATAATTTTGCCTCTAGATCAAATTTAACTCTTTAGCTGAGTCTCAGTTTCACCTCTTATAAATTGAGGATATTACACTAGATTATCTTAAAGATAATCTCTAAGAATCTACTGTAATTCTATGAGATATAAGCAAGATTATTAGTATAGACTCAGGGAAGGTAAAAGCTGTTATTTAGGTTTGGAAAGTAAAATCCATGAACTCTAAAGCAAACACAAATACTAATAATTCTGTATATGCCAACACATAGCATAACGTGGTCATGGGTTTGACTCATTACTTGCTGATAATTTCTTAGATTCATATTGATGCAGAAAGATAAAGTTATAGAGAATTTAGAGACCTGTATGGAGAAACCCAAAATTATATAGTCACATGGTCTTGTGTGGTCCTGTGACAAAAATTGCAGAATGTTCAACAAATCAATTATTTAAATGATTGAAGTACTTTGTGTGCATTTGCAGAAGGACTGTAACTCACCCTCTGTCTCAGATGTATGCATATGGTTAACTAAACTCACCTATAACTTGGTGAATCACTAACATGAAAAATTCTAGACTATATGACTTGCTTATGTGGAAAGTAAATAGGGATAAAGTTAAGAAGATAGTCTAATCAGCATCCCCCTGTCTCTGACTGTAGGGCAATATTTTTATAGACACTCTGTCCACCAGAAAGGCTATTCCAGTCTGATATGTAGCTTAAGGCTTATCAACTTTTTGATGAGAAGAGGACTTCTGTATTTTAAAGGCAGATCATGTAGGATTAGGCACTTGCTGAATTGCAAATCCTCAACCAGACATGTTAAATGTGTCTAAATTTTATCCAGGGGTATTTGGGGATTGTAAGCTCTTCATCTGAAATGAGATACTAGTGCTGGCTAGCCTCAAAGAACGTTTAGAATTCTAATAGTCCTTTAAAAAGTATTTAATACAGCTCAAGAGAAAATTGAGACCAAGAGAAGGGTAGTGACTAGTTGGTGGAAAAGCTGGACTGGAATATGTATTTCCCAGTTCTTAGACTTAGTTTTTTAAATTGACTTGATTCTATGCTTCAAAAAGTTATTTATGAAAATTCTAACTTAAAATGCTTATTCTCAACCTAAATTTTTGACTCAAAAAAATTAAGTGAATAATTAGGCTAATTGTTATGGTGTTGGGTGATGGGGTATTTGCATACAGAGATCAGAAGGACACAATTCTGTCATTGAGCCTGCAATCTAGTAGAGGACAGAACATGAGCAGAAATACGTTATTTGGAGTTGGGGACTAATGGTGGTGGTTTGTACAAAGTGATATGAGAACTGAGAATAGAATAAATTCAGATTTAGGCCAAATTGTAAAAGCTCTGTTTACTCTTCCCAGTCTCATGTGGAGTTGAGGGAATAACCTAGTTCTAGCTTCCTTCTTCTATTTGTGAGAAGAATGACAGCTCTCTGAGTTAGTTGCTGGGCCTGGGTTAAGGTTGTGCATAGCCTGTGTGCCTGGACCCTCTGCAGGAGAGGTGTGGACTCTTCACCTAGTTACCTGGTGGTAGGTATTTCAGGAGTCCCAAGTGGTGCGTGACTCAGACAAATCATTTCTTCTGAGATATAGTTTTGTTACAGGAAAAAACAAAACAAGACAAAACAAAACAGAAGACATAGGTGTAAAACACAAAATTTCAGGAGTTATTTAAATCTGAGAATTTAGAAATTGGGGAGAAGGGGCATACCTTTCTTCCCTCTTTTACTAACAAAAGTGAATCCTCTAAGACATATAGAAATAACGAATAAGCATGATTATAACTTTTTAGTCCAAATTCTGTTAGTGCCTTTAATTATATTTAGAATTATGTGTAGTAAAAATCATGAGCTTCTGAGCCAAGAAATTTGGATCCCAAAGCACTTAATTTGATCAATTGACCCTTTGGGTTCTCTTTCTTTATTTTGTTTATTTTTATGTGATGCTAAGAATCAAACCCAGTGCCTCACATGTGCAAGGCAGGCGCTCTGCCACTGAGCTACAGCCCCAGCCCTGGGTCCTCTTGATATATAAATGATGAGCTGGTGGTTTTCTTGAGTTGGGTAAAGATTAGACACAGTGTGCTGTATTTCTCAGTCATTCATAGTATCTGGAACTTATGGATAGATAGCCTCACATGTGGGTCTAGTAAAGGATGGTTATTAAAGACCTTTCTATATTCACTGAAGCTGGATAAAGAGTAAAAGCAACCAGACATGGTAGTGCAGACCTATAATACTAGCTGCTCAAAAGTCTGATGCAGGAAAATTTCAAGTCCAAGTTTAGCCTGGGCAACTTGGTGAGACCCTGTCTCAAAATAATTTTAAAACGGGGCTGGCAGTGTAGCTCAGTGGTGGGATGCTTGTCTAGCTTGTTCAAAGTGCTGGTTCAATCCCTAGTTCCAAAAAATAAAACAAAACAAAAAAAAAGGAGTAAGAGCTGAGTATAAGTAGAGTCATGGGACTTGGGAATTACTTTTTTTTTTTTTTGAGATTTTGGGGATTGAACCCAGGGCCTACTAGGTGAGTGCTCTACCACTGAGTTATAACAACCTCTATCTATTTCTCCCCCTTACCGCCCCCCCTTTTTTTGAGAGACAAGCTCTCTCTACGTTGTCCAGGCTGACCTTGAACTCCTAGGCTCAAGTGATCCTCTTGCTCATTCTCCCAAGTGGTTGAAACAAACACACCTTGCATTAGTTAAGAATGATTAGAATCAATGAGTTAATTACTGAACATAGCTATGAGTTATTCTAGGAATTTTCACAACAGAATACATTTCATTTGCTTACTAGTTCAGTGGTCCCGAGCAAATTTTCCCCTCCCAGGAGATATTTTTGTTGTTGTAAAAAATAGAGGGGGTTTGCCATTAGCATTTAGCATTTAGTGGTACAACTAGAGATTTCTAAACAGCTATAATACAAAGGACTGCCTTATACAAAGAATTATCTGACCTATAATGTCAATAATGTTGATTTTAAGAAACCCTATTTAAGAGAGTGAGGAAATCAGTACTTTCACTGTCTCAGATATTATGTTATTGTCTTCAGAATTCCAAGGTAAGAAATGTAAAGTTAAAGGATAATTATCCATCAACTGATGAATAGATAAAGAATGCATTATATATACATAGTGGAATACTATTCAGCTATAAAAAGTATGAAGTCCAATCACTGAATGAAACTGGAAGTCATTAAGTGAAAAACTGGCACAGAAAAACAAGTACCACATGATCTTACTAACAAGTGGAGTCCAAAAAAGTTGATCTCATAAAAGTTGTGAGTAGGATAGTGGTTTCCAGAGGCTAAAGAGAATATAGGGAAGGAAAGAAGTGGGAAAGGTTGATCAACGGTACTAAGTTATAGTTAGGTAGGAGTAAGAATTTTTGGTGTGCTATTGTACAGAAGGGTTACTATAGATAACAATATTGTAGTGCATATTTCAAAAAGCTTGAAGAAATAATTTTGAATGCTTTCCCCACAAAGAAACATTGCATATATATAGATAGATAGATATAGGTATAGATAACAAATGTTTCTATACCTATAGCTATATTTCTGTATCTATATCTATATAGATATATAGATATAGATAGAATCATGATACTTCATAAGTATGTACAATTTTATGAGTCATTTTAAAATAAGATGACTGTGTATTTCACACTTTATCCCCTTTGGTTGATTTCTTCCTAGGCAGGAACTTATTCCTTGTTGCTGTCCATGAACTTGGGCATTCCTTGGGACTTGGGCATTCCAATGATCGAAAGGCAATAATGTACCCCAACTATGGTTATCTCGACCCCAACACGTTTCACCTGTCTTCTGATGACATCCGTGGCATTCAGTCCCTCTACGGTGAGTTGGACCTCCATGTCATTTTGCCATACAAAGTTAGTTACACTTATAAACATTCTAGGAGTATCTACATTAGGATAAAACTTTACTTCCTTTTCTGTTGAACCTTTGGAAGCCCTGTGAGGTAAGTAGCATGGATAACATATTCCATATGGAGACAAAAGACCTGGGGTGTAATTTCAGGTGAAACCTGTGGCTTTGGTGTGTTGTCCCATTGAAGAGGCACATGGAGAAATAATCTAACAATCACAAAAATCAGATTATTCTCCTCCATGATATGCAACTATATGGAAAAAAATCCTTAGTATATACATCTTATGAATTTTATAGAACACTTAAATTAACATTGATGCATTTTGTCGCCAAGAATATGGCATGTTTTTAAAAGAATGGTTCTTTCTCTTAGGAATTAAAATGCACAATTTTTACTAATGTTTCTTGAAATGTATTTTTAGGAGGCCCAGAGAAGCACCAACCTATGCCAAATCCGGACAGACCAAAGCCAGCTGTCTGTGACCCCAACTTGAGTTTTGATGCTGTCACTACATTGGGAGATAAAATTATTTTCTTTAAAGACGGGTAGGACCATTTTCATATCTACCCAATATCCAGGGCTTTGTTTTGTTCAGAGAGAGAGAGAGAGAGAATTTTAATATTTATTTTTTAGTTTTCGGCAGACACAACATCTTTGTATGTGGTGCTGAGGATCAAACCCGGGCCGCATGCATGCCAGGCGAGCGCGCTACCGCTTGAGCCACATCCCCAGCCCTTGTTTTTTTTGTTGATCAGAGAATAGTTGAAGTGAGGTAGATGAAACTTGTAAGCAGTGACTTGAATTTGGTTCAATAGACAGAGGAAAGATCTTACAGATTTTAAAGCAAGAAATTGGTATGATTATGTCTGTATTAACTAGAACACTAGTGTGCAAAAATGGATTTACAGTAAGAATCTGGGCTGGGAAGTTAGAAGACAGGAAGCAGAAAAGCCCAACTATTTTAGTTATAGAAAAAGATAGTGAAGTTGGGAGGTAAGGAGCTGCTATGTAAAAGATTTTCTCCAGGATGACTTACAACTTCTGCCTTGGAACACAGATTGAGGTAGATTTTGCAGGGAGGGCAGTGGGGAAGATTGATATTTGGTAGGTAGGACCAATATTCTGTTTTTTTTTTCTTTTTTGAAATTATAAAACAGACATCTAAGATTAGGTAACTCCCAGTTTATAAAACTGGTGAACAAGCTGGGAGGCCAGGTTAGAATCTTAGATCGCTAGATTCCAAGTTCCAGATTATTTCCATATCTCAGATTGACTGTAAAAGTCATTGTCACTATCAAAAATTGATTAAGATCTTCTCCTGTGATGCTCCCACTGAGACATCCATAGACTAGAATGTGCAAATAATGGAATGATGTATCAACTCTTAACCAAGAGCTGTGGTGGCCACCTGTCGTCACAGATATGTTGGAGGTTGAGGAGGGAAGACCCCTTGAGTCCAGGAATCTGAGTCCAGTCTGGGCAACACAGTGAGGCCCTCATCTCAAAAAGAGAGGAAGGAAGGAAGGGAGGCAAGGAGGGAGGGAGGGAGGGAGGGAGGAAACAATAACTGATTTCACAGGTCCTTCCTGTTCACATTTCACGGTACCTGAGTCTATAACAGCGGCTAACGTGTCAAATGCCTTTCATGGCAGGTTCTTCTGGTGGAAGTTTCCTGAGACATCAAAGACCGGCATTAGTTCAATATCTTCCTTATGGCCAACCCTGCCTTCTGGCATTCAAGCTGCTTATGAAATTGAAGCCAGAAATCAAGTTTTTCTTTTTAAAGGTAATTCCAATGTTTAGTTTTGCCAAATTAAGGGAAAACTACTATTTTTTTATTGATATAGATCAAAAAAGCACTCCAGATTTTATTAATGGTAGCTCTGAACCAAAAGTACCCTAACTACACAGGAAATAGAACTTTGGGGGCTAGTTTGTAAAATATAACATGTTGATATTTGTGGGAAAAAACCACAAAACTGTAGGAGATAGACCATGTTTAAGATCCATGTACATTTAAGAACTCTAGGGAAAGATGATGTTGTTTGTAGTAAGTCAGTATTTTTATTATTCTTTCTGGGTAACCCTAATATATCCTTTTTTTGTCTTCACAGATGACAAGTACTGGTTACTTAGCAATATGAGACTGCAGCCAAACTATCCAAAGAGTATATATTCGCTGGGCTTTCCTAAATATGTGAAAAAAATTGATGGTGCTGTCTTCAACCCACTTCTCTACAAGACCTACTTCTTTGTAAATAGCTGGTATTGGAGGTGAGCTTTAGCTTTGACCTCTAAGATTTGTGAAACAGGCATGGAATGGATCTTTCCAGAAGGTACTTCTTCTAAAGAAAAGAGAACAGGGACCCAGGGGAGGGAGAGAAAGGGGAGGAATGAAAACTGACTGGTATGTTAGGTGCATGTACAAATGTGTCACAGTGATTCTCACTATTATGTATAATCATAATATATGAATAGAAAATTTGGGAAACTTTTTTGAAAAAAAGAAGTAGTTTTTTGATGCAAATTCTTAAAGATCCTTGACCTTCTTGGGAAAGGAATCGAGAGAACATAGGACTGAAATAGTCATTTTCAACCTAGTTCTTTTCTCTTTGCTGTGGGTTTCTGATATATAAGAATAGTATAAAATGTATTTTTTAAAAAAAGCATTTTGCTCAGTGGTAGAGCACTTGTCTAGCATGCGTGAGGCCCTTGCTTTGATCTCCAACAGTACATAAAAGAGATAAATAAATCTTAAAAATAAAAAGAAACACTTTATTTCCCCCCCACACATTTTTTACTGATGCATTATAGTTGTACCTACTGATGGGATTCGTTGTTACATATTCATACATGCACACAACACACAGTATAACAATATAACTTGGCCCATATCACTCCCAAAAGAAACACATTAAATGAGATGTTATAGTATTAATCAGAGTGGAAACACTAGAAAATAGTTTTATAGATGTGTGAGAACTAGTATTTAGTGCACAGTCATTTTGGATTTCTGGACTCCTTTCTGTGATCACTGAACCCAAAAGGTAAGGGAGGAAACCTTCCTTAGAATGGCAGGAGATCCTGAATGGCCAGCAGCACATCTGATGATTGTCTGGTTTTGTCTCAAATATCTAATTTTGAAGTACGACTGAGTCATCTATAACTTCTGCAAAAACCAGCCATTTCCCAGATTGCTTACGTGATTAGCATGAGGAATAACAGAATGTATTAAGAAAGCTACATTATAATCTCTATTCTCTAATTTTTTTTCTTTTTCATTTTTGTTTTGTTGGTACTGGGAATTAAACCCAGGACCTCATGCATGCTAGGCAAGTACTCTACCATTGAGCTACACCTCCAACCCTTTTTATTTTGAGACAGATTCTGGGTAAGCTGTCATGGCTAGCCTCCAACTTGTTTCTCCTGTCTCAGCCTCCCAAGTAGCTGGGATTACAGACATGTACCATTAGCAAAATTCTATTTTTCTTTTGAAAATCTAAAATTCAACATTTAATTTCAGTTGACTACCACATGCTTATGACATCTTTGTCCACCAATCTTAGCCTTTTTTTGAGAAGTAGAACTTTTGATTTTAGAAAATAGGACTTTGTGTTCACTAACTGGTATAGTATTTCATAGCCCATCATCATTAACATTTAATATTCAAATTCCTTTGAGTCCATGGATAGTAAACCCTTGCCTCTTCTGTTATCTTCTGGGAGGAAATTGTTGATTTTGTCTCAGTGGTAAGCTTTTGAAAAGAAGACAATGTCATGCAAACAAATATTTGTTCAGTGGGGTCTTTTGCTGTAGTAAATCACCTTCAATTCCAGGCTGCATAAAGGAGGACTCAGCTTTGGGGCAAGCACTGTGGGGTAGTAGAAAGGCTTGACTAGAGTCAGCAGCCTAGGGTTGGAGTCATATAAGGACTTAGAGTGAAGCAGAGATCTGTTTAGGTCCCTGGTTTTCTTTAACAGTATAGTTAAAACTTTTTCAGAAAAAAAAAAAATCTTTCAGGAGAGAAGACAGGTTTAAGGCTCATGTCATATGATCCATTTTCTGATTGAGTTCCTGCTGGTTATTTCTCTGCTCAGGTATGATGAGAGGAATCAGCGCATGGACCCTGGTTATCCCCGACAGATTACCAAGAACTTCCCAGGAATTGGGCCTAAAATTGATGCAGTCTTCTATTTCAAAAGTAAGTAGACTGGAAATCCTACTAACACTTAAACTAGATTTTCAAACTCCAAGATCAGAGAATGAGCTCCAAATAGGAAAGGGGAGGGACTCTGAATTCTTGATAGGGCCACAGAAGGAAAACACCTTGTGCCTGACTGAGAAGACAGGATAGAAAAATGAGTGGGCAGTGGCACCAGCACTGTCCAAGGGTGGTCTGGCAAGCAGGGGGACATGGTCACTGCTAGTCCTCCTGTGTCTGAGCCCCTGGAGTTTCCTGTGACTCCATTGGCTGCTTAGTGTGTGCAGTGAGCCCATGGCAAGCCTGGACTCATATTTTCTTACACCTTACATTCTTTACCTTTTCTTTTTAGTCACTTTTACCCTCATCCATCCTCATGGTCTGGGACTGAGGTGGGATGAGGAAAGAAGTTCAAGTTTGTGTTGTGAATATCTTCAGGTTCAGCCTAAGCATAACTTTTCAATTGGTCTCAGATTATTTTTTTCTTTCCCTAAGTCTATTTTTTTCTCCATCAAGGTCTATATGTGCCCCACCTGGCCACACTAGCCACTCTTGAGTCCTGCACCCTGTATGTGATTGGTTCTGGGTAGATATCCAGGGGCAGAATACCTAGCCAAGAGTCCCCAATATTTATATTTTTAAATCCCATCTCATCTAATCTAGGTAATCTATAAAAACAGATTTTTTTCCTAAAGAAATACAAGGGTAAAATTAAATAATTTAATCTGTTTTTATTTTTAGGAGACTACTATTTCTTCCAAGGATCTACCCAACTTAAATATGATGTTATGTTACATCGTGTTACCAAAAGGCTGAGAAGCAGTAACTGGTTTGGTTGTTAGAAATTATGTAATTCATGGTGCTTGTTAATTCAACTTCAGTTTAATAAGTATTTATTGCATATTTTCTATGTGCTCAGGGTACCACTACATGATGATATATACCATAAAGTAAAATCTATAGGCCGTAAGAAAATGATTGTATAGATAAATGATTATACAAAGTGTAAACTTTTACTGTCAATTTTTGCTTGACTCTACTATTAAGTTTGAGAATAGATACCTTCAACGTCCACAAAATACCTTTTAGAGGCTGCTCTGTAAGTTGGATTCTAATAACCTTGGGCTGAGAAGTTATGATTACTTCTTTGATTTAACTAAATTTTTTTCTCAAATAAAAATTTTAAAGGGAGCATTTGGTTTTTTAATATTTTTTTTAATTGAAAAACAACATGTTTTGAAAATAGCTCTGGACCTATCTCTAAAGTCTTTCTGTGACTATACCAAGGAGCAAATAAATATATGACAATTATAAACACAAAAAGCTTAGATTCCTTTTGGTCACTTGTGTAAGGTCACCTGTTTCCTTGGTCTCGAGACAAGAAAGCATTCTCTAGTCTGTACACGACCCTGAGGAGTAACTACAGCGTATGACCAAAGACAAGAGAGGAGAAGGGATGGAATGTTTGCTTCCATTCTGATGGAATTTACTGTGTAGTTCACGTTTCATATCACACTGGGGACTATGAATTACTGTGTGACCCTGATAAGCAATTAAGTCTAAGCTTCCTTAAATTTAGGAGAAATATTAGTGGTCCTCACCGTACTGGTTTGCTGTAGAAAATTTTCAAAATATATGGAGAGCAAATGCTGGTAGTATAGACTGTCTCATATCAATTTTGTTGACTATCTTGACACATCCTCCCTGTCTTCTGCATTAGCTCTCACTAATAGCTTATGGCTTATGACATGCTTCCAGTTTTTAAGTTAATTTATGTGCTCAAGATCCAAGATATAGTTAAACCCACTTCATGTCAGATGATGATTTTTGACAAGAGGAATGAACTGAAATCAGGGGGACTATGAGGAACAGAAAGAATCTAGTTGGGGAAGAAGCTCTTTATCCTTCCTATTTTAGATCCATCCTCAACTCGATTATGCATTCCTTCAGAATAATTCTAGAATTGTCTTTGCAAGGAGTAGGGTCAAGTCATCCCTAGATGAAATGTTATTCCCCACAGGAAACTAGATGCTGGACTTCCTTCAAAAGACAGAACTTCCTTAGAGGAGTAGCATCAAAAGAAAATTGAATTGTATCAGGGTTGCACTGTATTTGGCCTTAGGTAATTCTGGAGGAAGCAGTTTATCCTAAATGATGTCAGAACTGACCCAGAGTTCAGCCCTCTCATTTCATGAGAAATGCCTTCAAAGATTTCAGATGTGAATCTTTCTTCCCTTAACCTTTACCTGGATTATATTTTTAAAAGTCGTCAAACAAGCCCTTTAATAAGTGTTAACTGTGTGTTGACACTGATCCCAGTGCTACACACACATGTTCACACACACATACACACACACACAAATTAGATCACTTAACCCTTATTACAAGCACGAGGTAAGATTATCACCTCATTTTTTCAAGTGAGGAAACTGAGGCATCAAAAAATTTACTCCCCCAAGGTCACATATCCTTGGAACTTCAATTCAGATGTGGGCACTCTGCCTCCCAGAATTTGTGTTATTAACTGCTACAAGATTATGTCATTCAGATTTATAAAGTAGCAAGAATGAACTAAAGCAAAATTCCTAGCACTCCATCCTATAATGCTTTGCATTTTCACTTGGTTTTTCAATTAAAAGTCTTTAATGACTAAGCTTGGTTTATGTCCAATGTGGAGAATATAATTTTTTTCCTCCTGGGGAAAGAAAGTAGTGTTATCTTGCTGATGTCAGAAAACAAGTGTCTAAGACTTGGAAATTGCAAATGTCTTTACAATGGAGTGCTGGACATATTCTAGAAGATCTTCTGGAAAGTGAACACTGCTGACTAGACTCTTGTATAAGTCTGTAAAGATAGAAATAAAAGTAATATAAAACTTATAGTAATGCAAATGGATCCTTCTATAATAATATAAATATTACCTATTAGAGATACAATTGATTTGTGCCTATTAGAAGAGATAAACATTTTATTTTACTACCCTATAAGACATTAATCCATTTACATTATTAGAAAATTCATTTCAACATTCCTTACTGCTTATGTATCTGTTCTTCAGACCCTTCTTAGAACTGATCATCTCTTTAGTTAGTGGATGCTACTGATACATGGTGGAATCTTATGGAAATGTTATAGTTTGGATCTAGAATGTTCCCCAGAGGCCCACGTGTTAAAAGCTTAGTCCCCATCCCATGGAACTATTGGAAAGAGGCAGAACCTTTATGAGGAGGAGCCTTGTTGGTGGTTTTGGGTCACTGAGGACATGCCCTTGAAGGGGAATATAAGACCCCAGTCTCTCTTTCTCTTTTGCTTCCTGGTCAGGAATTCTATGGCTTTATTCCAGCACAAGTTCTTTACCATGATATGCTGCCTCCCCACAGGCTGGCTTCCAGTCATCCATAGACAGAATCCTCCAAAACTGAGAGTCAAAATAAACCTATCCTCTTTATAAGTTGGTTATCTCAGGTATTTGTTATAATGATGGAAAGCCAGCTAACATACTGAGTTAACTTATATCTTCAACTAGCTCATTATATATTTTCAACCTTTTGGAAATCATATTTTTGCCTAGTTAGCCAATAGGAAAGATAGTAGGCCTGCCCACCCACCCCATGGAGTACTAGGCGGAGAACTTATGCTAGTGGGCAACTTCTATTTTCCTGATCCTGCCTATCTCCTTATACATCGTGCTTGTATAAAACACACACAAAAAGGATATATGCACCTGGGTTGCATATAATTTCACAGTTTCACTTTTTAAAACTTCGTTCATCTACTCAAAAATATTTACAATGCTAGATTCCCTGTGATAGGTATGGGGGATTCAAAGACGTCAAGGAATCTGCTTCCAAAGGCGCAAAATATGGTAAAAACACAAAAAGATGGACATATAAGCAAAAATCATACTGCAATGTGGTAGGTAGACTAATAAAAGCAGATAGAAGACAGAAATGAATGGGTCTGTGCAGAAGGATTCGGGAACCACAGAACAACTTACTGTGTGAAACAATATCCGGATGTCTTATAAAATATGAGAGGGACTTGTCAGATGAAGAAGGGAGCTAGAGGATTCCAGATTCAAGAAGCAGCTTCTTCAAAGACTTACTACATACAAATGTAGAGTCAAGACATTAAATACAAGGGAAAGAATGGCAGGAGAAGGGAAACAAGTCATGAAGAAACTTCACTATTGTAAATTTTATTTTTCTCTCATAAATATTCTTTTTTGCGGGGACAGAACTGGGAATTAAGTTCAAAGTCTCGCTTCTACTAGGCAAGCACTCTAACACTGAGTTACACCCCAAGGACTTTTAAGATTTTATTTTAAGAGAAAGACAGAGCCTTGCTAAATTTCCAGGCTGGCTTCCAGTTTGACTTTCTCTTGCCTCACTCTTTTAAATAGCTGGGATTACAGGCATGTGCTACCACAACCTGGCTGTGATATGGCTTTATTGAAGGATTTAAATAAGAAGAAATTACTAAATTGCATGGAAGATATTTTTGATGGAAGTTTGAAAGATGGATCAGAAGGAATTAAGGCTAGGTACAGAGGAGATCACTATTCTATTATTACAGTAGTCCATGCAGGAAATACTAGAAACCAAGTTGTAGTCAGGGGAAGGATGGTTATGAGCACTTAGTAAAGGGGAGAGTTCACAGGGTTTGGTGACTGCTTTGCATGTGGACTATGGCTGGAAAGTAATAATATGGGCTGATTTTTTAAACATCTGGTTTAAGAAGCAATATAGGGAATAGAGAAGGAATGGCAGAATGTGGAGGAGATGATGGTATGGTTAACACAATGGAAATAAATTGAGTCTGTTGAGTCTGGGGAGCCTTTGGACAGCCAGGTGGACATGTCCAGTAGATAATGGGATGGAATCAAGGCCTTATAAAGGAATCCAGACCAGCAATCCAACTGTTAGATTCTTTAGTGCATAGACTGAAGAGACAACATGAAAGTTAATGGGTTATTCCCTAAGAAGCATGAGTAATACTCTCTTCAGTCGATGCATCAACTCTGTGGTGATGTTCTAGATTATACCACTATTGTTGTTAGAATATCAAAATGTTTAAGAAGGCCATAATGTACCAAAGAAAAAGGGCTGTCTTCACTCATGATAGAGAACTCCTAGTTCATGGGGATTAAAATCTAAGTCTTTTTCCTCATTGGTATATAAATATTACATCCCAGGACTATTTTTGCTTCTTTCCAGATTGGAGTAACTAGTACTAGTACTGAATTTTTCTTCCTGTTGTGATTGACTAGGAAGCTTGAAAAAAATATACAAAACAGCTGATTTCATTCATTGGATATGAAACAGCACAGCAATATGATTTAGAAAAGAGGAGAAACACCTGTGATCCTAGTGACTTGCTAGGTTGAAAGGGGAGAATTGCAAGTTCAAAGTCAACCTGGGAAACTTAGAAAAAGCCTGGAAATTTAGCAAGGCTCTGTCTCTCTCTTAAAATAAAATCTTAAAAGGCCTTGGGGTGTAACTCAGTGCTAGAGTGCTTGCCTAGTAGAAATGAGACCCTGAACTCAATCCCCAGTACTGCCCCCCTCAAAAAAAGAATATTTATGAGAGAAAAATAAAACTTACAATAGTGAAGTTTCTTCATGACTTGTTTTCTCTTCTCCTGCCATTCTTTCCTTCGTATTTTATGCCCTGACTTTACATTTGTATGTAGTAAGTCTTTGAAGAAGCTGCTTCTTGAATCTGGAATCCTCTAGCTCCCTTCTTCATCTGACAAGAAAGGGCTGGGGATGTGGTTCAGTGGCAAAGCAACCCTGGGTTAAATTCCCACTTAAAAAAATCTTTCCTCCTTTCGGCTTTTAGGTAATTTCCAGATTGTAATACAGGGGAAGAGAAACCAGCAGAATATCGTGGTCTCAATGAGAGAAAGAGATTAAAATTCTGGAAGGTAAAGATGTGTCTAATTCACAAGGAGAAGTATGAAAGAGGAGAGATCTGCACAAAGAAACTGCTCCAGATTCCAGGACAGGAGTGTCCTTGAGCCTGTTGATGAACACACAGCTGCCCACATACCACCAACAGCTGTAAACTAAATAATTCTCAGAGATTCCACAGAGCTGGGACAAGTTTG